TTTATTGATAGATAAACTGCATGTCTCTCGGATACGATGGATCATTGATCTTAGCCAAACACATTCTCGACTTGCCTCGTGAATTGATATTTCGCATGATTTGAAGATGTGACGGTTATAGTTTGCTTTATAGAACACAAAGATATAGTTGGATCTCCATATATAAATATATAACTAGTTATGATTGAGCTTTGTGTATATCGGATAAATAACTCGCATTTGCATAACTAATTAATCTTGTCTTTGATTTATTGAAGTAATATAAGCCCATATCAATTATTCCTCGACGATAACGTAATATATATATTTAACTTTATTTCAATGTGTTCGTATTGAAACAAAATTATAACTTGATAATAAATTTATAGAAAATACTATATCAAGTCGAGTATTATTAGCAAGATATATCAATGCATCGGTGGCACTAAGATATGGTACTTCAAGACCAAGTAGTGTTTAGTTATCTTCTTGAGGTCGAAAAAGGTCTTTTTGGATATCAAGTGAATGAACTACCATTAGGCTAGTCAATGAATGATCTCTATACGGAATCATTGTGGAATTTTTTCTATACAAATTATTTATGAATAAAAATCTCATTCTCTTAATGCTCAAACTGCAGATCGAGATAACATTTTATTTTCTCAATGTATTCACATCAAATTCCCTTTTTAGATAACTTATGACACTTGAAATCTCTTTAGGAGTTTCAATAATATTTAAGTTATAAACATATAAAACAAACCCCTTTTCAAATAAAAATATATAAACAAATAGGGTTATTCTTTTCATAAGTTTCTTTCAATAATCATTGAAGTGATTATATCACATGCACACGAGTTAGTAATAAATAATATATATAAAAATAAAATATAAAAAGTATAAATTGAATTTCTAAAAACTAAAACAATAAAACAAATACTAAAATAATCCTAATAGAAATCTCTATAATTGAATTGAATTCTTATCTCAAAAATATATATTACATGCTTCGGCATATTAAGTCCTTCTAGAACTTTCATACTGATTCATCTCAAATGAACAAATAAATTATGATCACATTCATTAAATGCATGCATATAAATGTTTTTTATATATTTTTTTAGGCTAATGCGATAACAAAATATAATTGCATCTATTATAAGAGAATATATCTCCTCATAGTCAATCTTATCTTTCTTATTTCATTTTTGTAAAAATACTCATTTATATCCCATTAGCTTAACATCTTCGGGTGTTTTAGGTATGGGTTTAAAAAATACTCTTTTGTAAGATAACATAATTCTACCTAGATTGCTCTTTTCATTTAGATGAATCATCTTTATGTCGATATTCTTTAATAAATTTGGGCTCGGGATCTTTATTTTCATTTAAAATATCAATTACAACATTCTATCAAAAATCTTATTGATATTTCTTTTCGGTCCTATTTTCTCCTTATATTGACATAATTTATCAAAATCTCTTGATTTTTCTTAAACATTTAGACTTCTTCTAGAAGCATATTATCATAAATATCTTAGACCATTTTGTAAATATTGTTATCTTTTATATTTTCATCTTGTCCTTTTCTTTTAAGGATTTTTTTTTATCTTTATAACTTATCGGTCTTCCACGCTTCGGTGTGCTTTAGATTCATTAATTATAACATTAATAGATCGTCCTTCTAGGACATCAATTCTAATATAAGCATTCTCAACAGAGAGATGCATTATAGTTACTCATTTAGGATCCGAGAATGTATCTAGCGAGTCGATTTGTAATACCTTATAAATGAATTATCTTTTGAACTTCTAGTTCACATTGTTTTATACCAAATTGATACAAAGATAGAGTACTCCACGTAATCTTTTTTTTTAATATTTTTAATCTGTTTATTTTTTTATTCTCTTCCCCTAATGTTGGAAGAACTGTTTCATCAAATGACGAGTCGATAAATCAAGCCGTAAAAATATCACTTATTCATGATTCAAAATATTTAATTATAAAAAAGGATTCAAATTCAATATATATTCCGAATCTCCTTTAAGCGCCTATTTTATTTCGTTATGAAGAAGCACTCGCGGATATACATTGTAATGTCAAAAATTCTTAAATAAAAAATATTTGGCTCATGACCATAAATCAATTGAAGATGAGAGAATTTTTGATAACTTCGGGTCCGATGCGAATAAGTGTTGTTGTATGTAAGATTGCATGTCCCTAGGTATAAACAAGGATTTTTATTTTTAAATAAAGGTTTAGCTATCAATTGGAGCCTTTTGATAAATAATTTTGCTAAACCTTTCTAAGTATAACATGAGCAACGGGATGTTCAACCTTTATTCTAATAGCCAATCAATAATAATTTAATACTTGAGAAATAAATTCATCGGCATTATCAAGGTGACTTGTTTTAATAGCATAATCTAAAAATTATGCTTAAAATCAAATTTGCTAGCAATCTAAAAAACGTCGGGTTTCGAATAGATAATAAGCATATATGTGACCATTTTATGGATGCATCTATTAAACTTATAAAATATTTAAATGGTCCGCACGGTGGATAAATTGATCCACATATATCACCTTGAATACATTCTGAAATACTAGAGATTCAATCTCAATTTTACTTGGCAATGGCTTAATAATCAATTTGTCTTGACAACATGCGGAATATGAAAATTTATTAAATTAAAGAATCTTCGGCTCTTCAATAGATATAAATTTTTTTAATAATTTTTTCACATCGTGAAAGACCCGAGATAACACAATTGGTCATGTCACATAGTAAAAGTATTTGAATTAGTAAACTTCGGTTTACTACAATATTTGTTTCAATCATTTCAATATTTGTAATAAAGACTAGAAGAGAAAATAGATAATTTTTTTTTATAGATATTTTCTACCCGATATAATGATTATAACATATAAGTATTCGCATTTGCTATCTTGATATGATATCAATTCGGATGAATATCTTTAAAACTTAACAAATTTCTATAAGACTTTAAAGAGAATAATATATCATTTATAATAAATTTATCCTTTCGGATAATAATATATTTGCTCCTCCGAAGCCTTTAAATTAGTCATTTCAAGTAATAATATATCAACTCTTCTAGAGCCTTTAAACATTTTCTTTTCAAGTAATAATTTATTCACTCTTTTAGAGCTTCAAAAATTTGTCTCTTCAAGTCATAATATAATCGCTCTTCTAGAACCTTCAAAATTTATCTCTTTAGATAATAATATAGTCACTTTTCTAGTGCTTTCTATTAAATTGATATGATCATATATAATATTAAAATAAAATAAATAATCAAATAAATCAATACCAAATAAATAAATAAATTCCTCATAAACATAAACAAATAAATAAATAGTAAAATAAATTTGTAACCATTACTATACGATATAAATTATAAGAATTATAAAATATTTTATTTATAAATAGAAAAACTAACAAGTAATTAATTTCAATTACTATTACTTTGATATATAAAAGTGGTCTTCATATTTTACTCTTTATTTTTCAATAAGGCTTGACAAGCCTTAACAAGGTGTTTTGGTATACGACGAGTACACGATCAATATTCATTAATTCCACATCTATAATATTTATTTTTAAAATACTGACTTTATCTATTTTTATTTATTTTTTCATAGTTATCCACTTCGGTGGTGAGATGTAATGTTATCGTCATTACGATTATAATGATAATTATTTCGACCATATCCACGGCTATGACCACATCTTCATTCATGTCTAAAATTATTATAAATTATCACATTCACTTCGGGGAATGAAGTAGATCTAATTGGATGAGATTTATTCTTTTTTCATTTTATTTAGCCATTAACAAGTATAAAATCATTCAAAATATTTTTTAAACTCTTTTCCTCGATATGCTACCGTAGGAGCATATCCAAGACATAAAAAGTAGAAATATTTTTTCAAAATCAAGCACTCATAATCAATTATTCTTATTCAAAATATCAAGAGTCACCAAATCAAGTTTATGAGGTTTGATATGATAAAAATTCTATAATACAATAGATAAAAATAATATTAGAAAATAAGAACAAATATAATAATAAAATTAAAGCTTTTCAAATAACATATATTAGATCATTAGTAGATCATTTAAGTTTTTCAAGTATATATTTCATATATCAATAGATTTAAAGCACATGAATAAATTAGATACATACCTCTTAATGATCTAAATAATCTAAATCTTTTGATAAAGCACTTGTGTAGAAGAAATCTAATTGTTGAAACAATTGATTAAATCTTTTGATAGATACATACCTCTTGGTTTATTGTCCCGATTGATTAGAGCTTCATACCGATTACGTGTTATAAAATAAATAAAAATAATAGGAGAACTGAAAAAAATGATGACAAGAAAATGAAATCACTGTAATGTAAATATAAGTGATAAGAACTTCAAAGTTTCTCTTATTCTCTCTAAGAAACTTGTACACCAACTAATGTAAAATCAAGCCTATTTATAAGCTTCAAAATTGATAAGAGAATTGAAAGGGACTATGAATAATTAATTACATCACCCTTTCAATTTCTCATATTGAATGATGAATTGAATCATATTAAGAATTATGAGTAGTAGGGATATAAAAAGTGAATAAATATGATGATGGACATTCATTATTTCATAATAAAAAGTACTTAATTTAGAAATTTTAAAAATTCCAAGATGAAATTAATGCCAAAAATTGTTTGGTGGTGAGACTAACTATAAACTTAGGTGATATTTTTGAACCTTTTTTCCCCTAATATCAATATATGAATGGATATTGAAAGGCTTAATTGATTATGTGAAGTTAATTTTTAAAATTTAATGCAAATATGGCATTTGAAAATGGTAGAAATTGATATGCACAGTGTATGGTACGATTGTTCTAGTTAACTATTAATTAATTATTAACTATTAACTAAAAAAACTAAAAGAATAATACTTTTTATTATTCATTTACACTCGATTACACTAGTCACTTACTGTGCATGCCTCCCTTCTCTCTTGTTTATGATGATCTCTTCTGCTACCCCTTCTTTCGTCGTTTCGTTTCTCCTTTTCAACCAAAATCCTTGCTGCAGCTGCATCTCTCCCAAAACTCCACGACCCGATGCGGACGATCACCCACCCATTACCAATGGGTTGCTTCATCACTCAGCCACAGACCAGCTCCCTCACAGCTGCCACTACCATCTCTCTCATCCAAAACTGTAACCCGTTGCAACTCTCTTCAAACTTTTCACCCACTGTCAATCTCCACATCCCGAAAATACTCCTCTTTACAGCAAAAGAAATTAAAATCCATATTTGCGAGACAGATTCTATTTTGCATCCATCAATTCTGAAGATTCTAATAAATTTTCCACCCACCCCCCCCCCCCCCCCCCCCCCCCCCCCCGCCTCCCTTAATAATTATCCATTGGGGTGTGTTATAAGGAGAATATTTAGAAGTTCACGAGGGGATGAATGCATGCTGCTATGTCCAGCTGAAATGGGAGTGATTTTGCTGCAATTTGATTGTGCTATATATCTGATTAAATACTTGATGGTGTATTAAATAGATTCTTTTTTGCAGGCCTGTTTAGACATTGAAGAGTGTAAATATTGATGGTTGGTCTGCGGTATGTTTTTCTACTTTTGAATTGTGAATGTTGGATGATCTGAGTTTTGACACTGGAAATTTTTCTTGATCAGTTAGCGTCTTGCAATGTTGTGCATCAAATTTTTATTTCTTGAATGGAATGTTTAAAGCTGAAAATTGATGCTTTAAAAATGCATCCTTTTTCCTCTTGCTGAAGGAAAATTCATTCTGTAGCTTTCCCCTCTGCATCATATAAGACTTAAATTCTTAAATGTTTGAGATAGAAGGGAGATATGGGTATGGAGTAAGGGAGATATGGGTATGGAATAAGGGAGATTATAGGTCATGAATTAATGGATCAAGCTGCCCCTGAAGAACTTTGCTTTCTTCGGCTTGATGGTTTAGGCATTGAAGATAGTTAATTCTCAATTTTCGATTTTTATAGAGGAAAACCATCTTTTTTGTCAAGTAATCTGTTTTCGCTTTCTGTAGTGAACCTCTAACCTCTAACCCTTGAGCACCGGTATACATCACTATCAGCGATGGTGGAAACATTGAAGGCAAAGCTAACAGGTGCAGAACAAAACCTCTTTAGTTCCATCTTCTACAAAAGCGTAAGCTGTCTAATGAGAGTAATGACTCTGATTTGTACCGTGTTTCATGCAGGATATTAGTAATGTTCCAAATTGTGTTTGTTCTATGAATAGATGATTTTACATTTGCATTTGCATTACAACTCAAGTAAGGAAGGAAGGGATTGCCTGAGTGGGGATGCCTTAAGAAAGATTTCAGCATTTTTGGTTTTGGGTCATTCTTAGTAGAGTAATTGCTGAAGTGGCTTTTTTTTTTTTTTTTTTTTTTTGAGTTGCATCTCAGATATGCTTTGTTACAAAATTCCAACAAGTTCTGATCTGCCCCCCTAATGCTATTATCAGTAACCTTAAGCAACAGGGTATCCCAACCACCTATCAGCCATTTATGCATGGATTTATGAAGGGTAAACCCTATGATCCTGCTATAAATATATGAAGATTTGTTTTTAAACAAAAACAAGGAAGAAAAGTTTAGAAGAAATGTTATTGTCATACATATGAATTACAGCAGGCAGGGTTATAAATTTGTACAAGTAATTGTTATGGATTTCATTTTCAGTTTAAACCAAAATGATAAATGGGCTTAATTTGGATATACACACACGCGGGTCTTTTAGTGATGGAAAAAAAAACAAAAAAAAACAAAAACAAAAACAAATCCACAGAGTAATTAGACAACTTTATGAATCTAAGAGTATATTTGTTACTTATCTAACCAAATACCAAAGTTTATTAAAGTCTTCTCTCTTTTTGTTTCTTAATTTTCATTTTTTTTCTTCTTCTGTGTGCCCTTAGATTTCCAACTAGAAGAAAAAAGAAATGTGAAGGATTGCAATTCAGCTCAAAGATTGAGGATCAATGGCAGTAACTAAATACAGAGAAGGTAGCATCAAATTATGTTTGTTGACAGGGACTACGCCTCTTTTGCCAGGACATACTTAATTGTACTAGAATAATTCAATTTTACATACTTAATTGTACTAGAATAATTCAATTTTAATGGGGACCAAAAATAATCCATCATGATTTGTATATAACCTTTTCGCCAATGATCTCATCGATGACTGATGCTTAGATTAGTGATACTGAAAAAAAAAAAAAAAAAAAAGGAGAGAGAGAGAGAGAACCAAGTTAGAATCCCAAATTATACGATTTGTGCAATATTTTTATGTTATCTCAAAGCTTATCAAAATTTGTTCACTTCACGTTATTAAGATGGTTTGTAAGAATCCCAAATTATATTGAGTGCAAATTTCTATTTTTCAAATAGATTAATATAGTCCACGCATGTGATTCTTTCAGAGACTAAATAATAATAATAATAATGGCATTATTATATAATAGGAAAATGTTTGCAATGGATTAGTAATTCTTTGTTGCCCCTGATTATTGTATGCTTCTACATTACTATACTCTTACCACACTATGGTTTACTACTATTTATTTGTATAATAAAGACAATAATTATTTATAAAGGATATATATTAATGAATAATCTATTCTTTTAAATGCATTTTTGGGTTTTCTAGATTTTTTTTTTAAGATTTTATATGAATAAAATTTAATGTTAGTTGATACACAAACAAATTGAATAATGCTTTTAAAATAAAAGTCAATTAAAAATTTTGTGTTTGCTCTCAAGTTATTATTATAACATTTTTTTTATGATGCAATGGCTATAATTTTTTTTTTTTTACTATGCATCTACACACACGTAACACCAATCATTTGTTATTAATTTTTTTACTATTTAAAAATATTTTTTTCCAAATAAAATAATTAAAATATTATTTTTGAAGAACCACATAATAATTGAAATACATTTTTATACTAATATTGTTGATTATTTTGTAAATAAATAAAAATAAATCAAATGCATAAATTTTTAAAAAGTTAAAAAAGATTCTTTAGTTAATTTTTAAACAAGTTTTTTTTATTGATTGTTGTTTTATTTTTTCGATGCAATCTTATAAAAAAGATATTAAGATTTTTTTAAAAAAAATATTAAGTTTTTTTTCAAAAAATTATTAAATTTTTTATTTACATTAGGTTTTTATTTAAGAATGAATGCATAGCAAATAATGAATTACATTTTTTTAATAACAAAAAAATATGAAAAACATTAATACAAAAAAAATACAAAATTTTTAAAAAATAGTATGAAATTAGATGATTTTTTTATTTTTAATTTAATATATTTTATTTGATCGATTTCATAATACAAGCTATTAAACTGAAATAAGCATATTTTGTTCGACTCATCGTGTAGCGCGGGAAGTTGACTAGTAAATAAAACTAAACCGAGTAGGAGTCAAAGTTCCTTGGAGGACATCCTATAAAATGGGAAGGAATGTATATGAGTCAATTCATATGTTGGACTTTAATTATGTCAAGCATGTTATAGCCCAATAACATTCTCCATCTTTCCATCTTCCACTCTCTATCTATTTGTCCGTCCGTCGATGAGTTTTTACCATATTTATCCCATCCAAGCATTAAGAATGTATTGATCCCAACTCGAAAGCTTCTACATTTCACTCGAATTAAAAGAGATTAATCTGCAGACTTCAATTGAAACTCTCAATCAAATATGTTCTTCTTACAAAATCTAGATAGCCATCACTATCCCGACATTGTGTGACTTTATTACCATGGGCATCCATTTTCGATTTTCTTTTCATCTTCTCTTGTCCAATTATTGGTTCTAACTGTATTATCTATTAATTATTTTCAAAAAGCAGCTACGGGTGAGTTAATTAGAGGAGGGAATGGTAATTTTCATATGAAAATTGCAATTTTAGTATTTATTTTCGATGTGGATAATTTATATTTTATTGAATCAAAAAGATAAACTTACCGTGAAACATATCCCGTCATAATCTAAAAAAGAAATATATTGTATTTAATATATAGGAACAAGAACTAATGGAGAAAATAAAATTAGCATCCTTTTTTTTAATGAGAATTACTTTTTTGGTACTCGTGTTTAGATAAATTTTATAATACACAAAGAGTAAATAGTGACATATACGAGTAGTTACTCTATGGATCCACTTGGAAGAGAGTATATACACATAAAATTATATCCGAACTCACAAAAAATGATAAGAAGATTTCCGCATTCGCTCAAATTTTTTTAAATTTTCTCTTTCCTATTTCTCTCTTATTTTTTATGTCTATCTCTCTCTTCTAAGTGGATCATGGAGTAACTACTATATATGTTACTAGTTACTCTTTGTATATTAAAAAATTTCTCTCGTGGTTAGGTGTGATTATGCAAATTCAAGAAGCTTGACTAAACATACCTTTCTAATTTAGCGAAGCATGATATTCTATATCATAATTCTATAATGTTTTAAAGAGAATTTTACTTTCTATCATCAAAAGGTACATTAATTGAATTATATCGTAGTCTTTCTATGCAATCTCAATAAATAATAAGAAAAATTTATAAGTTTTCTTTCTTAACGTTTTAAATTTAAATCCTAAGAGAATTATTATTAAGTCACTAGCTTCTTAAAATTATTTAGATTTTTTTTTTTAATTTGGATTGATGCATAAATTTAGCTAATAATATATTTGACCTTCCACCTAAAAAGTAAAAAGAGCCTTTCTATTTGGTACAACCTAGTGGAAATATTGAGCTTGGTGATACGCTCCGATCAAAAGAGGGATTGTTTTAGAAGCTTTGGGAACGTTAGATAAATCTGAAAGCCTCTAAAAGATTATGAACCAATGGAGAAGCCTCTAAAACGTCTAAGAGAAATCTAGATATGTCCCAAAAAATTCTAGAGAGTCCCTCATTATTCTAATTGTACACATCTAGATATACATATCTAGATAGTTTCTCATAAATATCTAGATAGGATAATTATAGAGAATCAATGGTAGCCATTAGATCAATTAAATCCTAGTCATCAATTGAGGAGGTGGAGGGTTATAAATAGATGAGGCCTTCATTTGGTCAAGACATCCGG